GCTCTCCCAGCCTCAGATTCCCCAACAACCAAATGCCCCGTGTCCTCCCCCACCCCCTCCCCCACCCCCGCTCTCCCAGCCTCAGATTCCCCAACAACCAAATGCCCCGTGTCCTCCCCACGCGCATTCCCTCCAACAACACCACCACCACCATCCCCCTCAAGCGAGCGAAAATCCCCCCCAAGAACCTCCCCCAAAACGCCCAACGCCTCCTCCACCGCCCGCTCCGCCGCGCGCACCAACCACCCCCCCAGCTCCGCGTCCGGCACGCGCCGCAGCACCGCCTCGACCTGCGCCTCGACCAGCGCCTGCAGCAGGTATCCCTTCATGTTGGTCTCGCCGCTGCGCAGACCCCGGCGGAGCCAGGGCTTGGCCTCGCGGGTGATGGTCAGGAGGTCGTGGCGGATGGGCTGGTGGGGGTAGCCATGCGACAATGGCCCGGCGGCGGCGGCGAAGGACGCAGGGGCGGCGGAGCAGGCCTCGCGCAGCTGGGCGCGGAGCTCGAAGGCGGCGAGGTTGTAGGCTTGCATTGTGGTTTGTGTGTAGGGGCTGGAGGTGTTGGTTATGTATCTTGATAGGAGTTCGGAGTCGGGGTTGGGGGTTGGTGTTGGGGGTTTGGGGGTATGGGCATGGGTATGGGTATGGGTATGGGTTAAAGAGGGGGAAGGGGAAGGGGGGTTGGTGGTGGCTGTGACGGGGTGGATGATGGCTGATGAGGGCCAGGCGGTGCACCAGATGCGGAGGGCGGTTTCGGTGAGGACTTTGCGGGTGTAGGCGTAGGTTCTCGGGTCGTGGAGGGCCGGGATGAAGTAGGGGATGTGGAGGGCGATGAAGTGGTGGTTGATTTGGAAGTCGAGGAGGTGCAGGGTGAACGGGGAGGGGGTGCGGGTCAGGGGTTGGTTGGTGGTGAGCGTGTGGAGGGTGTGGCACGTTTCTTGGTACGCCGTGCGCAGGTCCGCGTCGAGTCGGAGGGTGTCCTCGTAGGTGAGCTTCGTGTTGAGGTTGTTGAGGGCTTGCGTGATGGCTAGGCGCGCGGGGAAGGTCTTGCGGTACGCGATGGCGATGGAGGTCTGCGTGAATGTGTTGTCGGGTTGTGGGGCTGGGGGGTTGGCGGTGTCGGTGTCGTTGCTGGCGGTAGTGGCGGTGTTGGTGAGCTGGTCGTCGTCGTAGTTGCTGGGAGGCAGGGTGTCGAAGTCCTCCAGGGAGAGGAGCGGCGGCCCGCCGCAGAGCATGCTCGACGCGACGGAGAGTTCGAGGACGGTGTTCCAGAGCCGGCGGCGCATCTCGGAGGCGAAGAGGGTGCGCTTGGGGAGGTGGTTCGGGTCGCGGTGCAGGCCGATGTGCATCGCCATGCGCAGGAGTGAGCCCGCCGGGATCCAGGTCAGGGTGCCGCCGATGCCTGTGGCTTCGCGCGCTAGAAGAACGAGAAGGTTGAGCTGGAGGAACTGCATGCTGAGGTGGGCTTTGTACTCTGGCTTCGCGAGCCAGGTCAGCGCCTCGTAGACCCAGGCCATCGCCGACGGACGGAGCGTGAAGTGTTCGTCGTAGGTGGCCGCTCCGATGGCCAGAACCAGTTTGAGCTGGATCACGAACGCAGGGTCCGGCGTGCTCGGGGCTGCCCAGAGAGCATCGTAGTCGCGACGGAAGGTAGGAATGTGCAGGATGCGGTGGATGGCTTCGCTGGTGCGCAGGTAGCAGTCCACCAGCTGGTCGGCAACTTCTCTCCGGGGCAGTGGAGTGGCGGTCACTACAGGCCAGGAGGGTGTGCGTCTATCCTTGATGATCTTGCCGATGGCTTTACATTTCTGGATCTTGGTGAACGCCTGACTACCTTGGTCTCGCGCATGGGTTTCCAGGATTTGGAAGAGGCTCCAGAACTAGAATAGCATTAGGCAGAGGTATAGATGAAAAGAACGGGGCCACCTACCTCCGTCGCCATGCCGTTGATCCAGAAGCTCTGGCCGAATAGCCGCGACTTGTGCATGATACTACGAGTGATAGCTACGGCCGAGCTAGCAGCATCTTTGTCATGCTGCAAATGGAACAGCCCGGTCATCGTGGAGCCTGCGGTTACGACCTCCGGGATTGGGGCCACTGGAGGCGGCTGGACCGCAGGCTTGGCTACGGTCTCAGCCAGTCGCTGTTCCAGCTGTCGGACCCTGTCTCTGAGGGCCTCCACATTCGGGTCCGACTGGGGACTGGCGACAGTCGAGGCTTCGGTTGAGGCGGTGGTATGTGCAGCGGAGTGGAGACTGGGCACAGAGGATTCCGTGCGGCTGGTATGTGATGTCCCACCATTGGGGATTGTATCTGGGGCTGTGTGACCGTTATGCGATGAGCCCTCGGTGGGTATCGCATACGGGGCTGGTCTGGTGGGCGTGACACCAAGCGCCGGCTGCGAAGGCCGAGAAACGTCGGAATTATCATACTCACAGGTAGCCTGATTCCCGGAACGAGTACAGTGGCTACATGGAGCTTGACGATCACATTTGATCTTGCGGCGTCTGCACAGAGAGCACGAGCTGATGTGTTTGGATTGTCAGCGCGGGGTTAGGGAGACGAGGGGAATTCTCCGAGGGAAGCCTACACCGCTGGTCTTCGACGTCGGCGGGCGGGTCCTATCATGCTGATCATCCGGAAGATCTAGATAGAAAGGGAGAGCTGTTGAGAGACAAGTGAAATGACAGATGTCCAAGAAAACAATGAAGGTGGTGGTTACAGCGATGCACGGAGCTGTCAGAGTCGTGCAGCGGGGATTGACACTCGGAGACAGCCAAATCACCCGATCGCCGTCGGCGGAGATAGCGGGTCATGTGATCATGTATGGCAAGGACGATGATGTGCGGCCCCAACAGCGATGAATAACTTTTAGAACGTGGAATTTCTCTATCTCTACAACTGTGGGCTTTGGTAAAAGTGGTTCATCCCGTCTAGCCCCCTGTCAAAAACTCGATTCAGCTCTAAGCTGGGTAGCTGCTGTAAAGACCGACGACGGGCAATAACTTATATGCCATAGTGTTGCTCCTGCGCTGTTGGCCCAAGTGGACGGCCATTCTCCGACCGACAACCGAGTCCGCCCCGTCAGCCCTACGAGTATCTCCGCGCAAACTGGAAGCAAATTGTACTGTCCAAGTCATATATAAGGTAGTGAGAGCCATGACACTGTCTTACCTGATGCGTCATACTACAAGACCTAAGACCAGCCTTTAATCACTCCACACAATTGTGCAACTCGAGTTCGCATCATGGGTCACACCGAATCCGCTGCAGCTTCTATGTCGGATGTGGAGAAAGCCGCGCCCACACCTGCGGAGCACGAGGCAGCCCCCGACGGCGGGAGCCAGGCCTGGCTCGTTGCGGCCGGAGGCGCGTGCATCATGTTCTCCTGTCTGGGGTTTGCGAACTCGTTTGGCGTGTTCCAAGAATACTACGAGGCCAATCAGCTGCGCGTTGAGTCGTCCAGCAAGATCTCCTGGATCGGGTCGCTATGCACATTCCTCCAGTTCGCAGCCGGTGGACTTGGGGGTCCATTGTTCGATCGCTATGGCACGTGGGTGAGTGCTCTCCGATGCCCATTCCATTGGAAGTGCCCATCAACTCACTAGAAATATAGGTCATCCGTCCGGCGGCAGTCGTCTACATCTTCGCCATGATGATGACCAGTCTTTGCTCGGAATACTGGCAGTTCATGCTGGCGCAGGGCGTCCTTCTCGGCACGGCAATGGCCTTCCTCCAGCTGCCGGCTTTCGCCGCCGTGTCACAGTACTTTGACAAGAAGAAAGCCGCGGCCCTCGGGCTGATCGTGTCCGGCTCATCGATCGGGGGCGTGGTCTTCCCGATTGCGCTGTCCAAGATGCTGAACAGCTCGTCGCTCGGGTTTGGTTGGTCAGTGCGAGTGATGGGTTTCGTGGTCATCCCCCTGATGGCGTTCGCATGTACAGTGGTGAAGCCTCGCCTGCCCCCGCGCACGACCTCGTTCTTCATCCCGGAGGCCTTCACGCAGGCCCGCTTCGATCTCATTATCGCCGCCTTCTTCTTCATGTTCATTGGGCTGTTTACCCCGCTCTTCTATCTCCCCACCTATGCAGTGACCCGGGGCATGGACGCCACGCTGGCCTCGTACTTACTGGCGATTCTCAACGCCGCGTCCACATTCGGACGCATCATCCCCGGGATTCTCGCGGATAAATACGGGCGGTTGAACATGTTCGCCCTGGGAGGGATCGCCACGGGGGTGATCGGCCTCTGTATGACCAAGGCGGAATCCACGGCCGGGTTGGTGGTATACGCGGTGTTCATCGGGTTCGCATCGGGTACCATCGTCTCGGGAGCGAGCGCGGCATTCACACTCTGCATGAAGGACGCCCGGGAAAGCGGGACGTATATGGGGATGGGCATCGCTACCAGCTCCGTCGCCGCCTTGATCGGGCCCCCCGTGATTGGAGCACTGTTCGATCGTTACGGAGGGTTCCTGCAGGCGTCCATTTTCAGCGGCGTTCTGTCCTTGGTGGGCGGCTGCATTGCCTTTGCTGCAAAGGCTACCACACCAGTGGGTCTGCTGGGACGAGTATAGCTCTCCTGGAGGGCAGATTTTGGATATGTTTGCGTGCTGCGATGTGTTTGGCAGTCGTGACACAAGGGACGGAGCTGGCTTCATACATTGATTCGAGCGGCTTGCTGGTATTGAGTGAGGCTGACTTGTGGCACGTCCTGGTGTACTTTTAGAAATCTGTAATCCCATATCATTTTCACTTCTGCTTCTCGTGCAAATTTGCCCTTAATCCACGTCATTTGCGACTTAAGAAAGCGAGGTGCATCTCTAGGGCCCGAAAAATGCCGAGCTGGATTTTCGTGATGCGGCCGACGCTCGATGGCGTGAAAGATCAGTAAGATTGTACCACTCGCGCAGGTATGACGAGTCTGTGTTGAATGTCGGGACAACCTCGCCTAATCGCCTAAAATGGTGGTGCCATGTTGGGGTGACTCAAGTGAGGCGTGTCACAGACGATCGGGGACGAAGCGAATCTGCTTGTCCGAACCGAGGATGGTGAGAGGACAGTGACCCACGAGAATGGGACCATATTGAGGTACCTACCGGTAATCGACAGCGGAGGTTCCATTGTTGCAGATCGTCGCCCCCCTATGATGGATGGACCCGTGACTGTCCCAATAGCCCAGTGGGGGCGCGTCTGGGCGGCTCCCGTAGCCGAAGGGGGGGTTTGTTCTTGGCAATGTTTCCAAAGGGGGAAAAACAATGCAGCGTCCGTCCACGGTCATTCCACTGCCTATCCATTCTGGATTGCTATGTATGATCCCCAACTGGTAATGCTCTGGAAAGATTGACTCGAGCTGCGACTGACGTGATGTTGAAGAGGCCGAAGTAATCCCTCGCTTCCAATCGCAAGTCTAGGCATCCGTCCATGCCGACAGAGTAATCTCGATGGAAGAATAACGAAAGAAGCCGTGAGTGAATCAACGTTTGAGTCCCGTACCGGTAGAAAGGGTTCAAGGTTATGCCCAGGTGTAACTGCAAGGGACGAGCCAAGACTGGGCCAAGAAACAGGGTGGTTGGTCAGGGGATCCAAGGGCGGAACTATTTCAGAACGGAGTGGAATAGTGCCCCAGTCGAAGAGTGAGCCAGATGCTGTAAGGCTGTGTAGGTCGGCTTGGCTTGTTGATCGTCCTCCAGGCTCAAAATTGAGAACACTCTTCGGTTAGCATGGAGTGCGGATGCGATTCCGAACCTGTGCAGCAGTCGAAGTAGACGAGCTGGAGCCAAGCATCTGGGATGCATGGAAGCATTTAGTCCAGCTTCGTTTAATCGAAACTAAACCCAAGTCGGTAGCGGTTCCTCTGAAGCCCGCTCCAAGAATCCAGGGATGTGAGCTGATTTGGGACCAGACCTTAGTGTGAAGTGCCAGAATTCATTGTTGATTGAGTTGGGGAGCCGAAGAGAGGATATTGAGGGGGTGCCAGTGCTTCCCGCGTGATCACGAGACCTCCGCCCCCCAAGGTTCTTGTTAGGTAAGGAATACCTCATCTGCGAGAGGGGTTGAGGGGGGATTCTGGGGTAGGACAAACCCAATTCCCTAGTTCCTACATGGCCAAACTCGAATCAACTTGAGTTTCCCTGGGTTGTGAAACATGATCAAACATGATATTTATTCCCCGCGTTGCTACCGAGTGTCTAGACCACTAGTCATGATAGTTGAGTACTATGGAAGACTAACTAAATAATAAGTTAAGCCCAGCTAGACCGTGCCACTAGTTGAATTAGTCGGTCGGTCGGCGGAGGAGTGCCGGACCGCCCGTTTGGGCCGGGTCACGGGGCTGCAGGAAGGCGGTTTTTCATTATGTCATAGAATGCAGCCAAACCCCGCTGGATGGCGCCATGACAAGTCATCAAATCACTGCATTCCATATCCTAATGGAAATTGATGCGATACGATCACCTGCGCATTGCGATGTCCATCAATGACCAGGATCGCGTTCGCGTATTTTAAGGTAGGTACTGTACACTGTGTACAGTCCATGAACTTGATAAGTTAACCTGGTCATCCTTTCCCCTCCCCTCCCGGAAGCGGCAAGTAGCTGAGTCAGCTCTAGTGAGGAAACGAAGGATTAGTTAGTGACTACCGACTAAATTATCCAATTAAAATAAACCCCCCCTAGTCGCGATCGATCCACGTCCCTACGGATGTCGGCGAATGAATAAGGCGAGAGCGAAAACCGAGAAGAAGATCCGTAAGCCTGGGAGATGCAGGATGATGCAGTGAGGTTGCACATCTGATTCATGATGATGGTGGTCCTGGTGGGCCAGTGGATGGTACCTTTTGATCTCCTCTTCCGGAGTGGGTATGGTACATGAACAGAGACATACTCAATACTTGTAGCATTTAGTCTAACAGGTAGTTCTCGTGTATTTGAGTATTTGGTACTCGGTACTTTGTGAACATCAAACATCATCTGGACGACCGTTCTTTGTTCCTCTTGGATGGATGGAACCTTAAAAGCCCTCCGCTGTCCGATCCACGCTGATTTGCTTCTTTCCGGCTCCACTCACCACTGCTTGTCATTCTGCGCCAGAACCTTTTTTCTTTTTTTTCCTTCTTTGGATGGTTTTTCTTCGGGCCCTTTACAATTTGCCTTACTTAATAGAAACTTGACGTCGGTGTCTTGCCGCCTCATTACTTTTTTTTTCCCTTTCCTTCCTTCTTTCCTTCTATTCTACGAGTCGGTTATTTGCCATCTTCTCCAATCCACCACCCGTCCCACACCAACACTCTTGACTTCTGTTCAACCGAAGCAAACTCCTCTATTTGTTGTTTGTGAAGAACAAACTGTACATTCGTTGATACTCTATTTCCGCGCTGCGCTGTCGTCAGAGGGGATCGGCGATTTCATCAGCAGCTCTCCACTCGAGTGCATGATCCCAGTCCACTGCAATCTGTGACTAACAGTTTTCCGTTTACTCCGTCCGTCGACTTCAAACCACCTCCAACACTGTTGATTGCGTCTCCGCTCGCCCCTCTTAGTGCACTCTGCTGTCCAGGGGGGTTTTGCTGGAATCCGGGGAAAGTGAGAGAAAAGGCCAAGGGAATTTAGAAAAAGGAAAAAAAGCTTTTCCTTTCCTCTGTTTCCTTCCCTTCGCTTTCCTCCGTCTTCCCTTTCCATCCCGCCGCCTCACCATTTCTACTCATTTGCTCAACACAGCCGGCACACACCACCACACCACACCACACACCACACAGAACACTCTTACCCCTCTTCTTCCTTCATTTACTCATTCGCGGCGTCCTCATTCGTTTGGGACTGGCCCTACTTCCATATAGAGCCTTTCCCCGTCCACAGTAATACCCGCCCATCATGTCTTCCGCCACCGTCCCAACCGCGATCGCGATTCCGAAGCAGACCTTCGTGAGATACACTTCCTCCGGAAACGCGTCGCCTTCCAACGGATCGCGCAGCACTTCTCCTCATTCTCCCTCGTGCTCGTCGTCGGCGGAACATTCGCGGTCTAGCAGCCGTCGCCGGGAGTCCTTTGGCTCTATCAAAGAAGACGTCGACGGTAGGTCTTCCCGGGTCGCGTGAGGCAGTTGAACCTCGACTAATCCATCATAGGCATTGCGCAATCGTTCGTCGATACCCACATTGAACACTCCCCTCAGGAGACCGCTAAGCCTAACCCCTTAGAGATGCAGCCGACTCCCGACTTCTGCTGCCCCTGTGGTGGCTTTCTGGGATGGAAGCAGATCCGTTTGGGAGGCAAGAGCTTGAGTCGCAGCTACAGCGATCTTCGAGGGCTGAACCAACTGCACTCCCGCTGGGCCTGGGAGTCGACTTCCCCCGTGGCCGAACCCCCGAGTCAGACCCTGCAGGTTCCGGAAGAGAAGCAGGTTGTCGTGGAGGAAGAGCAGCCTAAGCCGGTCCCGGGAACCTCGCGCTTGGAGAAGGTCCCGCCGGAGGTGCTTGGTAAGAGACTCCCCTCTCGTCTTAAACATGTAAACGTGCTAACAAGGACGACAGACCAGATCATCTCCCTCTTGGCGCTTGATGTACCCCCCAACGGATATACTCCCCGCAATGTGGATCTGATCTCATGCCTTCTGACCTCCAAGACTTTGCATGCGGCTACGCTTAGTGTGTTGTACAGGAACATGACTTTCCCCCACTCCATCATCTTCTCCAAGGCATTGAACCACATCTCCCTCTATCCGGCATTGGGCACTTTGGTGCGTCGTCTCGACTTCTCTCACTTTACTTCGGTGGGCTTGGGACGGACCAAGCAGATGAACTCGGAGATCCAGAACCTTACCTCCAAGACCCTGCTACAGTGCTTGGAATTGTTGCCCAACCTGCGCGAATGCTTGCTTCAGGAGCACGTGGAGGGGGATCTCAGCATGGAAGTTATCCGGAAGCTGTTTACGGGCCTTCCCAACCTGTCCGCTGTGGATTTCTGCGGCTGTTCTACCCAGTCTTTCTCCGGCCTCTTCCTCGAGGCGTTGACCTCGGGTCCTGGTCTCCCGGCTGCATTGCCTAACTTGCGACGGGTTTCGTTGCACGAATGCAGCAGCTTACCGTCGGTGGCGTTTGAGATTCTCCTCCCTCGCTTGGTCAACGTGACTCACTTGGATCTCACCCACACTCAGGTCGGCGAGGATGCGCTTTTCTCGATCCCTAAGACCGCCCAGATCACCCACCTCAGCCTGTCCCGGTGCAGTCGCCTGCGTGGTCCCAAGGTGGTGGAGTTCCTAACCACTCATCCTGCTGTCTGTGGCTCGCTGGTGTTCTTGAACCTTTTGACCGATCCTACGCGCTCCCGTCTCTTGGAGGAGGAAGACGTTTCGGCTCTTCTCCCACACTTGCCTTCCTCCCTCTGCTCCCTCAATTTGGGCGGTGCGAAGGTCACCCCCGCTCACACCAAAGCTCTGATCCCCCTGACTAAGCACTTGGAGGAGCTGGGGCTGAGCTCCTGTGAGCTGTCGGGTCAGGATCTGAACCAGTTTTTCGTTCCACCTCGGCCTGCCACTGGTGTTGAGAGTGCGCCTGCCACTCCCATCGACAGCCTTCCGCCCACCCCCCTGGAAGCCGTGCCACCACCTCTTGTTGAGGAATGGGTCCCGCATACCCTTCGTTACCTGGATCTCAACAAGGCTCCCCAGTTGACCATCGGAACCGTGTTCAACCCGAATGCTTGTGTCATCCTCTCGCAGCAGACCTATCCTCTGCAGGTCATCGAATTCAGTGACAAGCTGATTGCTCCTCTGCGGGAGAGAGCTCGAAATGCCAAAACGTCGCCCGGCTGGACTGTCCGTGAGCTGGGCCGTCGTGGCTGGTATGTTCGCGACCCTGCCTCTATGCCGAACTACGCTCTGGACGACGGTTCGCGCGACTGGAAGATGGGTGCCAGATGGTGGGGCATGAGGAAGATCCCTGTCGCTGTCGGAGAAGTCGGTGGCATCTACGGACACTACATGTTCAAGAAATAATTTTTCTGATTTCAAGGCTGTGTGGAACTCTCGACTCTTTGTCATGATCAGTTTTATACCCTGTTGAATGTTCGCATGGCGCATCTTTCGGATGATGATTTGACTTGATGATTTTGCAAGAGCGCCAAAAGTGTGGACAGTTTTATTGACGTGTTATCATTATCTCCATTTGCATAGCGAGTGCGATTCCTCAACGTTAGGTATGTCTTGACGGTCTGATTACGGCTTGCGCTTATGATTGATATCCTGGTTGTTGCCTTTTTTTTATGGGATTTATTGTGTATGCTAGTCAGGCGATTTGGAGCATAGCGGTCAAGTTTGGCTTGGAGTTAGGCTTGATTCAAGTTCAATTTTTTTCAATGTATTATTTTTGCCCCAAGATTCTTCTCCAATTCTCAATTTTCTCAAGTAACAGTACCAACAAAGCCGCTGTCGCTACGGGTTACCTTGACAAACGGGAAATCCCCGGGCTGACCGAAAGCAGAACCCACCATCGGGAGAAACCGGAACCTGGCCGGAGCAGTCTTGCCCAATTCATCTGACCGGTAGCACAAATGCCAACACCCCTCTCTACCTTCAGAGAAACAGAATGTAACTGTCCCGGGCAGGGCAGTTTTTCTTCCAGGTTTTGGCCCGTCTGGATGTTTTCCAAAGTTATATTCTGCCGAATCTCACTCCTGAACGTTTAGCCGTGCACCTGCCATACTGGGGAATTTAGGGGTAACCTTATTCCCAAAAATAACTTTTGTTTTCTGGACGGCGTGCCACATGGGATGATCGCATTGGATCTTGTGGGGTGCAACCCGTGCAACGGTGCAAGAAAATGTAACTCCCCTGGTCGGGGTTGTGGGTGGGGCCGCAGGCGGAGGATTCGGTGTGTTTTCAGGGATGGTTATTGGGCGGTAGGAGGTGGCTTTATATTAACTTTACTGTTCTCACTCCAATCTTTGATACAAAAGCCATAATCTGCTTCAATGCTTATCCATGTTCATTTTTGTTTATAGCTTACAAAGCTATATTTTATCTATAATTCTGTCGATAGCTTAACCCATAGCTAAAATATAATCCGATAATTGTTATTGAGAAGAATTTTCCACAAAGTTCAGTATTTTTACGAGTTCATATTTCGATATCATGTAGCTAATCCCCCGTCATACGCCCAAATCTCCTGCAAAGACTTCGAGGAAGGGTGAACTTGCCGTTTTGCAAAGTTTGAGGTCTGTACCATGAGTCCGAGGATCTCCCTCCCCCTGGCGTCTGGCTGCAGCAGGCACGGCTGGTCTCCGGCTGGAGCAAGGGTGGCCTTGTCGCCGTAGAGGATGGCCCGGTGGCTCTCGAGGGTTGCGAAGGCGTCAGCCAAGCTCTTCGTGGGCCTGGAGAGCGAGAGCGGGCGTGTGGGCTCCAGCTCCAGCAGCGAAAGGACTCGAGACGTACCGAACAGCAGGTGCGTGGCGAAGGAGTCGCCGGAGCTTTCGGCCATCAGCTGCGTTCAATGGCACTGGGTTAGTAACTTGCATGCCGGGTTCTGTCCGCGCACGCAGCCGCAGCATACCTCAAAATGCCCATGGAGAAACGTGCACCACAGCACGTCCTCCCGGTAACAGGCCTCAGAGTTCCCGGTCGAGACCCAGACCGTCGTCGCGTGCCGCAGACTTCGAAGCCATCGCCCGCAGGCCCGGAACGCGATCTGCCGCGGAGACTCCGCCTGCTCGCCGAAGCACCATCGGATCCGGCCCTTTCTCCCCGCCTCCAGCGCGCGCCAATCGCCGTCGTGATGGGCCGGAGCAAAGGGGATCGGCCAAGCACACTGGTGATATCTGCCGTTGCGGCCGCGGACTCGTCGCTGAAGTGGCACCGCTGCAGGAAGGATGCGGAGTGATCCAGATATAAACTGCCGTCTGGCCTCGGTACTTGGGGAGGCACGGTGGGATTGGCCGCATTCGAAGTATGGACGAACTTTACTGGGGCTTGCTTGAGCTGTTGTTGTTGTTGCTGCTGTTGTTGTTGTTGTTGTTGCTGCGGCTGTGGCACACAAGGTTTCTGCAGCCGGAGGCATCGATCGCATGGATGGCACCCCTCACACTGTTTTGGCCCTCTCGCGTAAATTTGTCTCTATCTTTGGAGAGAAAATGGGTTGCTCGAACCTTTACCCGTCGACTCGCACATGGCTGGCAGTGCGTGGTGATTCAGCGTTTGTCCAGCGGTCCAACCGGGCGTCGGGTCGTTTGGTTCAAGGGTCGTGTGCGTATCTTTTCGGTCATATTTTGAGGCTTGTTGGTTCAGGAGGAAACCTTTGAAGTGGCTGCCAAGTTCTACTCTGGGGTTGGCTGGCCCTTTATATGACTTACCCAATGCCTGATGTCTGTTCTGAATACAGTGGGCTGCAGTGGGGCCGGGCTGAGTAGTGCCAACTTGGCTCGTATGGCTCCTACATTCGTCTAACAATTCAGGCAGTTTCACGTTCAGAACATCTTCTTTCCCTTGTGTATGTGTATACTATAAGTGTAGCAATACCAGGTAGAGAATTCAACATGAAATGTTCTCAAATATGCCAGCCATCGTACAGGAAACACCGTACGCCTAGGGTATCGGATGTAGAATCCGACACCCGGTAGAACAGTGAATCAGACCACCTACCGTCCTCGATCATTAATGATACCGCTACATAAGCGATTTAGACCTCAACGTTGAAGTACTCGGTGACAACCCTGGTCCGCAATCCGGGCGAAAAATAGTCATATCCGACCATGACGTTGCAGTGGTTCACGTAAAGCGTCACAGGGACAAGCCCCTGGTACATGATATCCCACTGATCCGGTCCAGATCTGTTAGCTTTTCTGCTCTGCTCTGCTCTGCGTCTATGTTTATGTGTGTGGATCAGAGAAGAGCCACTTACAGCTGCGACCAAGTCCGCGTTGAACCGCCGCCGGACCAGACCGCCAAACACCGCACCGTAGGTGATGAGGATGTCCTCGGGGAACAGGGGGAAGTTCGAGTTGACGAATCCCTGCCACACCGTGGGGGTGCTGGATTGGGGATCATAGGTGGTCAAGATGTTGTCCCCAGACCGTCGTCGGTGGTGTTGGCGTAGTTGAACAGGGACGAGGCCAGGCCACCATCGTACGCTTCGTCGGCCTGGACGAAGTTCTGGGATGGCGAGTTCTTGATGAATCCGGTCGTGAGGTGGGACAGGTTTTGGTTCCTGTTGCTAAGTCAGTGGGATAGGATAGAAGGGCTCGAATGTTGCCCGAATTGGCACATTCCCATACACTTCAGGTTCCAAAGTGAATTGTCCTTGTCCTGGAGTCCCTGCCGTAGTACGTGGGCTTCCCTGGCCGTATGCGCGCGAAGTCTCTGCTCAGACAATATCAGTATTACAGATACCTTCAAGGTTAAATATGTGCCCTACCTGTGTAGGCTGCTGATAGCAAGCGAAAACTGACCCCAAAAACATGAATCAAGCGACCTCCAAATCGTACGTACTCTCTCTAAGATAGGAAGCCTCATACAATGACAGCTTTCCATGAGTAGCATTTACCGTAAGGCGGCGATATACTTGGATGCACATTGCGACTGGATGGTGCTCCTTGCGATGGTGTTTGTGGTCGGTTCTGGTCATACCTTTTTGCATCTGCACCAATTTTCTTATTACCTGATGAGTGTCTGTGTTCGTCTTTGGAAACACTTCTCCTGTAACATGGATGGGTATTTTTTTTTTTAAAATAGATTAAGAACTATATTAAATAACAGTTCTTTGAGCTTCATAGAAAATATGTAATCACAGAATGATGTTGAATTGGGCTTTGCCCTGGAAATATGTCATTGAACACTGGCGGAGGCATGTCCATTCGCCACTCGGGCCATAGGAGTGGCGTTACTACGGGGAGTCAGTCATCTAGACTTCAACCTTAATAACACTCTCGGGCAACTGACTGTCGGACGCTTATAAACCGTACGGAATGTTCGAAGTTCGGGGAAGTGGGGAAGCCGGGCAGGGCCCGACGGGGAGGTTGGCGGGTCGCCGATTGCACTTCCATCGCCGATTGACGTCAGGCCGTCGACCTCGCCGAGCATACTTAAACACCATCTTCAACTACATGCATTGTGTCAAGACATTCAAGGGAATCTTCGCCTGGGCAGTGACCATAAATATGAAGTTTCTACCATCTTTCAAACCTCGACTCACCAGTCGCATTCTGCACCAGCCAGCACGAAGGACGATCGTGAATCGAGTGCATCCATTGCCGTGTACCTCCTTCGCCTCAGCCAATCCAAGCAGCACATCACCCTGCAGCAAACGCTTCACCTCCACAGCAACAGCAGCAGCAGCAGGTCCTAAGCTCCCTCAGCCCCCAACCTCAATGCAAAAAGAACAACACCAACCCGCCATGCCCCACACAACCCTGGTCAGCACCTCCCCCTCCACCCCAACCATCCACGCCCTCTTCGAGCCCCAAACCAGCACCTGGCAATACCTCGTCGTAGACCCCACCACCTCCACCGCCGCCATCATCGACCCGGTCCTGGACTACGACCCCACCACCCAGACCATCAGCACCACCACCGCCGATGCGTTGCTCGCCTTCATCGCGCAGAAGGGCTACACCATCTCGCACATCCTGGAAACGCACATCCACGCCGACCACCTCACCGCCGCCGCCTACCTGCAGGCCCAGCTACTCAAATCGCAAGCCACCTTCTCAACTGCACAGACCAAAATCCCCATCTGCGCCGGCCACCGCATCCAACACGTCCAGACCCTCTTCGCACAGCGCTACAGCATCCCGGAGGAAGAATACCGCCGCACCGCATTCGACAAACTCTTCCAGGACGACGAGCACTTCACCATCGGGACCCTGGACGCCGTCGCGCTGCATCTGCCCGGCCATACCCCGGACCATTTGGGGTATATGGTTGGTGGTATGTCCGCTTCCTTTCCCTAGTTTACTTCATCAAAACTTTATGGCACTCCACCGGATCCTAACCTAATGAACGTGTAGACAACATCTTCGCCGGCGACTCCCTCTTCAACCCGGACATCGGGACCGCGCGATGCGACTTCCCCGGCGGGTCGGCGGAGAGTCTGTGGGCCTCCGGGCGGCGCGTGCTGGGGATGGCGCCAGAGACGAAAGTCTGGGCGGGACATGACTATCCGCCGGCGGGGCGGGCGGGGGTGGTGGTGCCGTTTGCGACGGTGGAGGAGCATCGACGGATGAACCAACATCTGAAAGACGGGGTGGGGAGGGAGGAGTTTCTGCGGGTGCGGCGGGAGCGGGATGCGGGGCTGGGGGAGCCCCGGCTGCTGCATGCTGCGTTGCAGGTGAATGTGCGTGGGGGGAGGTTGCCTGCGCCGGTGCAAGGCTCGCCAGGGCTGAGGTTGTTGAGGGTCCCGGTGCGGGGGGTGGGTGAGTGGTAGTGCATCAGTATCGCATCGCATCGCATCGCATAGCATTCTGATGATTAAGTGTGTATATTGCACAGATTCAATTTTTTTTTTAAATTTTTTTTTTTCAAATTCAATTTACTCAGTATATCATCCAACTAACTGAACCCAACCCTAAGAAATCTCCTACCCCAACCCCCACCCCTTCATATCCCCCTCCCTCGCCTCCACCACCCGCGCCGCCCTCCTCAACCACCGCAAATCACACACCCTGCGCGCCTCCGCCAGAAACGCCTCCTCGTAGTCCTCCCTGCTGACCCCGGCCCGCCGCGCCGCCCGACACCCCTGCACGTACACGTCGGCCACGTACAGCGCCCGCAGCGCCTCGAGGGTGTACGCGTCGCGCGCCAGCAGATCCTCGATCCCGTCGCGCGGGTCCGCGGCCCCCACCAGCGCCTCCACGGACCCCGGCAGGTGGTCGTAGAACCGGCCCAGGCGCGGCTTGTGGATCATCGGCACGCGCGCCCAGTACGCGGCGCAGTCCTCGCACGCCCGCGCCCAGCGGTCCGTGTCCATGCCGCTCGGGTTGCTGGTGAGGTCGTGCAGGTCCGCGAGGAAGACGGGGTAGCTGGGGGAGCCCATGGCGGTGCGGGTGCAGGTGAGGTGGTGGTGGAAGGTGGCGAGGTGGTGGAGGGCGCCGGTGGTGATCGGGCCGAGGGGGTAGAGGGGGAGGAAGGGCGGGG